CCGCTGGCCCGCTGTGGTCGCTCGTGCCGCGGGCATTTCCAGACGCACCCCCCAGGCCGCCCGGGCCATCAGCGGGTTCCGCGGCCCCGCGCACGCCCCGTCGGTCCAAACCCTCCTGCGCGGCTGAGGCGTCATGGGCATCGGGGCTGCTGGGAGCGGGGCTGGCGGCAAGGCCCGAGTGGCCTCCTCGGCGAGGGCGGCGAGCCGGACGTCCGTCGCCAGCACGCACGTGTTCGCCACGCCTGGCGGCAGTCGCGCGCGCAATGCGTCCTGCGAGATCCCCACCGTCGCCAGGGCGGCCGCCCTGTCGGCGCCCCAAGCTGGGCTTGCAAGTGGCAGATAGGGCAGAAACTGTCATCATGTTAAAATGATCAAAGTTCGGAAAATTTCAAGACCTATGTTTTTTGTTTACGAAGTTCAAGTTCAAGGTCGTTGAAACTTTTAAATTCGGACGGATAAAGTTCGGCGGCGAAGAAAGAGTGTGGAACAAGTTCGGAAACAGTTCGAATACTTTCCGCGCCGACCGAAAAGTTTGAAAAATGCTCGGGCGCTAAATTGGCGACTGAGCGCCTACCTGTTGTGCGCAGCGTTTTGCGACTGATTGTGCTCCATGCGGCCAAGGAGTGCATGGTCACACTTCGGTCACTTCGGTCGCCTCCATGATCTCTGACTTATAGTGATCTCAGAAGGCTGCGTGGGGGAGCACTGATCTCCGACGGCGCGCTTGAGCGTCGCGTGCAGATATCGTTTTCGCTGGTGCAAAAAATCGCTTCGTTGTGGCATGCCCCATGCTCGGCTGAGACATGTCCCGCGTGTAGTTGGTAGTCGCGTCGATGGTTGTCAGGATGACGAGCAAGCTTGTCATTTCTCCACCCCCCGCTTTGCCACTTGTCGCCCGGGTCGGTCTCAGGGGTAACTCCGCGTGGCCTGCGAAGGCCGGGCCTGCAACGCTTGTTGCGCGCATCAGTCGTATCCGGCTGGGACAGGAGTGGAATGGAACTCGGCGTAATTCTCGCTCGATATCACGCGCGGGCAGGGCCTCGCGCGCGGCGCATTTGCGGGGCCACGTGACCAACCAGAAAACGCCGCGGCATTCCGCGCCCACGCGCGCGCGGGCCTTCGCGGCCGCGCGGGGGAATGCGGGGCGCTTCGCGCGAGGTGCGCGGGCGGGGCCCCGCGGCGGCACCTCGCGCGCAACGCGCGGGGGCGGTCTTGCAGCCGCGCCGACGCATCAGCGATGCCGCGCGCGCGCGTCGCACGGATGGCCCCCCCGCGGCCGCGCGCGCCAGCTCTGCGGCGCCGCGCGCGGCGCGCGCGCGCGGGGTCTGCGCGGCCGCGGTGGAGGGCCCCCGCTCGTCGCGCCGAGCGCGCCGGCTGGATTTTCACGCGTGGCTGATCCATATTCTATGGCAGACTCAAGGGAACGGAAAACATGCCGGCGCGGCTTGCAAAGCGCACGGGCGGGGCGGCGGCGCGCCGGTGGACCTGCGGCCCCCCGCGCGCAGCGCGCGGGCGGGGCCCCGCGGCCGCGCCGCAGGCCCGCGCGCCCTCGCGCGGCGATCGCGGGGGCGGGGGGTGGGCGCGCGGCTGCGCCGCGCGGCGCGCGCGCTTCCGCGCGGCCCGCGGGCGGGTTCGGCCTCGCGGCCAAGACCCAGTCTTCGCGCCCCCGCGGGCGGGCGACTCGCGGGCAGGGCCCCGAAACCGCCCCCGCGCACTGGCGCACGCCCGCGCGCGGCGCGCGCGCGCCCCCCCCGCCCCCCCCCCCCCGTCCGCGTCGGCGCGGCGCGCGGGCGGGGCCGCGGGGCTGCGCCGGAGATCCCGCGGCCGCCCGCGCGCCAAGCACGCGCGAGGCCTCGTGGCCGGGGAGGGGGGTCTGCGCGCCCCCCCCGCGGGCGACGCGCGCGCGGCGCCCCGTGGCTGCGACAGTGATTTGGCGCGCGCGACCGCGCGCGCCCCCCCTTGCCCTGGCCCCCGGCATGGCGCGCAGATGTGGCCGCGTGGCCGCGCCGAAGATCCCGCGGCCACCCGCGCGCCGAGCGCGCGCGAGGTTCCACGGCTGGAACGAGGAGTCTGCGCGCCCCCGCGGGTGACGCGCGGGCTGGGCCCAATGGCCGCGCGCAGCAAACTCGCGGGTTCCCCCGCGCCGTGCGCGAGCGTGGCCGCGCGGCCCCGCCGACAGATTGGCGGCCCCCGCGCGCGGCGCACCGGCGGGGCTGAGAATGCCTGCGGGGCGCCGCGCCTGGGTCTGCTGGGAAGTAGGGGCACTTCATTGCGATCGCTGCGTGGGGAAAGCTCTGAGATGCCCGGCACAGATGATCTGTGCGCGCGCTGGCGCCGCCCGCCGCGGCCTCGCGTCAGGACCCGGCGCGGGGCCCGACGGCGGGTCGCCGACGCGCGCCGCGCGCGGCCCCCGCCCCAAAAAGTGCCCATGAAGCGCCGCGCGCGCGCCCGTGGCCCCCGGCGGCGTCTAGGACGCTGGTGCCCCATGGCAGCGCGGGCT